GCTTTAGTCAAACACGGTGGAGATGATGCCCCCTCTCCTGTTACTGAAGATCTTCAATTTGTCTTTCCAGTCTGGTCAATATCCCGAACGTTGGAAGAGGTCTACTGTCATACAGAGACAGAAGTCCGGGCGAAAACTGGCATCCGGAACTACCGACCCATTAGCCACACTGACATTCTCTCGCGCATGCTGGAGAGAATTGTTAAGGAACATTTGGTTTCGTTCCTATTATCGCACCAACTCCTTTCAACTTCACAGCATGGCTTTCTGAAGTCCCGCTCGTGTGTCACCTGTCAAGTTGACTTCCTTAACCATATAACTGAAGCAAATGACTCAGGTCTTCAGTGCATTGTCACCTTACTTAACATGCAAAAAGCGTCTGACGGAGTCCCGCATAAGAGGCTGCTAGATAAAGTAAGTAGATACGGCGTGACAAATCCGCTTCACTCTTGGCCCCAATCGTACCTAGTAGGACGGTCGCAAGTTGTGGATATAAATGGTGACATCTCTTCACCTCGTCTGGTCACCAGCGGAGTGGTATAGGGCAGTGTTTTAGGTCCGTTAGTTTTCCTACTCTATATAAATGACCTAGTTTCCATTATATAATTTGTCAAGCCTTATTTATTTACTGATGATCTAAAGATTGTTTACACGTTCTCAGCATACCGCTGAACTTAACAATATCCAAAGCGACTTGAAAAACATTGAGAGATGGGTTGACAGGTGGCAGATGACGTTTGTAACATCGAAGTGTAGTATTCTGGTGTATGGATGCCAGGTAGAAGCAAAATTGTTCAGGTTTCACGACGAAATCATTCCCACCAGCCATTCTGTCCGCGACTTCGGTTTGAAATATTCTAGTTTGCTAAACTTTAGCGAACATACAAATCATATCGTGAGAAAGGCTAAGCAGTCGGTCGGGTTCATATGTCACCTGCTAACCTTGAAAGAAACCAGACTGATCGCTTTTAAAACCAGTATCAAACTTTTGCTTGAATAGTGCTGTGTTACATACAGCAACATGCAAAAGTGTGATTTGAGAGCCAACGAAAACGTTAAAAGTGCCTTCATGAAGATATTTGGTTATCCAATGACTCTTTCATACAGAGATAGGCGCAAGGAGCAGAATCTCGAACGTTTATAGTAACGAAGAATGTAATTAAGTCTGCGTTTCCACCATAAACTCGCGTGGCGGAAAGCATTTGTTGGAGCCTATCAATCGCACTTTTGGGAAAATGTTAGTTAAGAACCGCGGGATAGTGAATGAATAGTCTCTACCTAAATTCCGAACCAGCCTAAGAAGAAATTGCTACCTTCTTAGGTAGGGATTCATACAGAATAAGCTGCCAAAAGATATTAAAGTATTGAACACTTTTGCATATTCAAGGAAATGGTAATGATTTATCTGTCAATTGACAAAGTGAAATGAATCTTAAGAATTCAATTTGATGATAAAAAGCTGTATGAAGAAGGGCCGGATCATGTATGACGGGAGAACATCGACTGGAAACATGTTCAACAAATGTACCAGTGCAAACTTGATCATATAGATTGAGATGTTACAACTGCTATATTCTTTAAAACAACTTCTTACGTAATTTTACTCCTTTCAAACTTAATTTTACAACTGTCTTCAGACCTAAAACCTAGAGCAAAAGTATTTACTATTATGAGGCCAGGAACTATCTTCGTAATCCTCTCCTCAAAATGACAAATTCGTAATATTTGTTCTGCGATTCGCTTCGCTACATTTATACTGCAATGCAAACTAGTTCCCATTCTTTTCCGGAGTTAACATTTCAGAAACATACACCGGATTTCAGTGATTGACGATATCGGACTCCCTAGTTAACTTTTGCCTATGGACAACTCGTGCAGTTATTTGTCTTCGGCTGTCGCCGCACAATTTGACTGCCCGATCGGCTCGGTTCGTTTTTACGCTGTTGTAAAACATACCTGCCTATTTTTGGCATTAATGATATTATACTTATTGCACTCAACTTTTTGTTTTGCATTCCTTATTCCATTGTTGGCCACGACTGGGATGATCTTAAGCAACGGACTGAAGCTTCCAGATTATAAAATACTATACCTATGCAAGGCACACTGGCCATAATTGAATGATCCGCATGACGGATTGGGCTGAGCCTTCATAGCCCATAATACATGTACAAAAGCAGCCCTAAAAAGAACAGAACATATGATAAACAGGTGATGGATCATATGCTACTATGCCACACCGGCAGACGACCAGGTACAGTATGGAAATGCGGGCGAAACCTTGCATGGAAGCAGGTCCCCTGGGGACAGTTCCACGGCTGGCCGTACTAGTTTACCTGAACATTACTTTTAATCTGTATGTTAGTGTTCCCGGCTTCACAATTTCTTTAATACCTTAAATCTGCCAATTAGTTTAATAACCATTTTGGATCCATCGTATAAAGCGTGAACAATTACTTAGTTTGTGCAATCCTGTAGTACACATTGATCAGGCCGCATAGTTGAACTGTGCTTTGCATTGCCGAGAAATATACCATTTATAAAGCGCTTCATATAAATAAATAAGTAAATTGTATATTCTCGCTTTCGGCCAGATACGCTTGTGACGGCATGTTCAAGTAATCAAAGCATTTTCTAGTTCAACGACCATGAATGATCAAAAAATGTACAACAGCAATGAAAATTATTTTTCGATTTGATAAGGTATCAAAGTTGCCTGTGTTACGTGATGTTGTACAGAATGTCTATGACGGGTTTGGTAGGTCTCTTAAGAATATTAATACGGAAATGCATAAAGTAGGTCTCAATCTTCTTTTAGCACATTTGATGGCTGCATTATTTACGGCTATTTAGTGGTACGGATTCTGGTAGTGGCACTCACACGAAACCGGAGCAACAGGAGCACCTACCATAGATAAACGTAAGAGTAAACTGCAATAAAAGTAGTACGAACATCAACAATGAAGATGGAAAATGTGGAGGTGTGCTTGAATGACTTCATCCCCTATAACACACATGTCGGTGACAACTTTGTCGTTGGCATAGGTATGAAGGAGGAAAAAAGATGGAGGATGAATATAGTCTTACTATTGCAATAGTCGCTCTAGATTAAAGGCTGGTATCTAGATGATATAAATCCTGGACTTTGCTCGTATGCTCGACTGTTCATTGCGTGATATCGCAATAGATGAATCACATTTTGCACAGTCAATTATTTGCTAGTACTTCCTCGAAATTCTTGCCATGAATTGCTAGCACGGATATCAGTTGACAATTTGTTCCAGATTCGTGTATATCGGTTAAGGGAGAAATTAGCGGATCTGGTGGTCTTTGACTGCATTTCACTACCGAATGATCCTTATTGCGTGTGTTGTATGATGATGAATGCATAATTGACATGGTAAGATTGGAAACATATTTGCTTGTGTAGAATGTTATAGAATATGATAAGTTGAGCTTCATTCGCCTCAGACAGACGAGATCAAACTTGAGTTTCTCACACCGCTCGGAATATTTTAATTTCGATGATGTTCCTAATAGACGTTTTGTAAATGTTCGTTGTATATTTTCCATTACAATGCGGTCGCTTTTGTTTGCGCTACCGTACATCATCGAGCAGTATTCCAAAAGAGGACACGAAAGAGATGAATAAGCGCAGAGTATGGATTCTTTTAATCTGAAAGTTCTAAATAACATTACAATGCTTTGCCTGGTCGTTGCAGTGACGTAGAACACTTGTTCGGAAAAGTTGACAAGATGAAACGAAATCGATAGAATTATTGTCCAAAATAAATCGGCTGTCAATGGGTCGCCTTTCAAGGGTGACCACCTCATAAAAGTCACCGGTAAACGAAAAAGTGCCTCGATGGAAAATTCAAATAATGCAGCAGAGCTCCGATTGCTCGTGTCCACGAGACCACTGCTTAAGTGTTCAGTGAAGACACTGATGTCCAACCAGTGCACGTCCTATTGCTTTTACAAATGCACATGTAGCTGTGGAGACAGCAATGTTGAGCGCACTGACCGAAAGCTAGGCGTTCGAATCAGTTAACACATTCCCAAATGGCTCCGCAAACGAATGGAACAGGCGACGGTTGCACCAGGCGGGTCGAGAAGCAGGGTTAGCTCAACAATCACGAGGCATTTGATGAACACCGGTCCCAGATCTCAGGCGCAGTCAATTAGCTCACATTTACAAGCTTCTCAATCGACAGCGCACACCATTCTGTGTCCAAAAACTGCCGAGATTGTAACCAAGCCTAGCATGGTAGCGTGTAACGCACCAATCGGAAAACAGTTGATCACCAACCGATTTCATGCGACATTGTCTTGATTGTCTAGTTAGGTGCATGCACAAGACTGAAATGCACGCGCGAATTAATAGTGTCATCCCACAACCTTCGTCTTCTGATACTCCTAGAATTGCATGTTGGTTAATCATGTGGGCGGAAAAATGTGTTTCACAACTCACTGCATTCCGGAAAATGTATCTCAAAGTGCATGACAGCGTAGGATACAACTCGGGGTCAAAAAATTATTGAGGGTAGCTTATCCATTTTTGGGCACAAAAACAGTAGAAGTGATCATCTTGGGTGCCGGATGAAACATCAGACTATAATAGTAAAAGTGTGAGTAAGAAGTGGAAATGTGTTGGACGATCGAGGACAACGGAGTATTGTCCACCAAGAAAAAGCTATATCGGGAGGTATCAGTAAAATTTCCTGAGACGTTTGGAAATTTCGATTATGGGAAAGTTTGCTACGACATTATGTACGTAAGAGCGTCGGGTACATAAGGGGAGTTAGAGACAAAGGAGATCGCTCAGGATGGAAGTGCAAAGTTGGACTCATCAGGATTACATAAAAACATTTTCAGAGACATGAGAAAAGCCAAAAACAAGAAGGTGGTCTCCGACGGACACATGAGCAACGAAACGATTCATCACTCTGCATAACGATGAGGACCGGATGAGTTCCAGTAAGCCAATGAGCACATTTCCGTCAGCCTTGATGTGGTGCGTGAGAAGGCAAAAAACTCTTCCTCACCGGAAAACATTGAAACAACTCCCGCTTTTCTGCTCCCCTGTTAAGCAAAAAGACGCGCCATACGCAGCAATAATGTTGGGTTCAAATCACAGTATATAGTGTCAGTTTGCAGTTAGGGTACCTGAAGCTAATGAAGGTAGGTACTGAGCGAAAATAATCTATGAAAGATTAAATAACCAGCTCACGATAGTAGTCAGGCACACTATGATATGGCGTCCAGTAAAGAGAAATATACTGTTCCAAGAAATCGTAGGGGAATCCAGTTGCGAAGAAAAGCACACAGAAAATAGGGCAAATATAAGAGCTTTATCTTTGTGAGTTCCTAGTGCATCAAATAAGTGTTTGGCAGTTTTGAATTCTCCCAGTTTGAGGAAACTTCAAAAGATAGTCAAAACGCTGTCCAATAGACAAACCAAGTTACAGTTTTTAAGGCTTACTGAATCGATTTCTCCCCCAGCTTTAAACATATTCTGGGCTGGAGAATTTTTAATTAAATGCTGCGATTCCGTTAGAATTATTTACCAGCAATAAGGTTGTGCCTAATTCTATCGAACACCATGTAGGTTAGTCAGTCAACTGTGAATAGGATCTAGAACGAACAAGCCTAAATAAAATGGTTTCTCAAGTTGAACATGTAGAAGTGTGAGTCCATGAAAATTATCCGATTAATGGCATCGGCGCATAACTCACTGCATCGAGACCCAGATCGTCGGCTAGCTGGCGTCGTCTATCAGAAAGCGCATCCGACGGCTCAGCAACTGTGCAGAGAAGTGTATCGATAGGAGCTTCAGCGCCAACTAACAGACGAACTCGGTTGTCGTACAGCACATCGATGAGATGGGTGAATCGTTTTAACATCGCCAAATTAGCGAAGCGAAATTTCGGGACTCGGAGAAGGACCAGTGTGTGAAAGTGAGTTGACAAACTCGTGTAATCCGCTGCTCCAAGTGGCTAAGGGGAAAGCGAGAGGAGATCAACAGAAGAGCAATTGAATCAGTGAAATGCATACACCTATGCCCTGGGGATGGTGAATGTAAGTTCAGAGCAAGAGAAGCGGGTTGCATATTCCTGAGGTGGGGTACAGATTCGAATGCACAAGTACCCTACTTTGATATTGTAAGTCAAGTTACACTGACCAGTCACCCAATAATAAGGATCAGAAGTGTCAACAACGGTTCGGAACCGAGCAGGCACATAATCCATACACAGGGCAAACGAGTTCAACCTCTAATTGGTATGCAGATAGCAGCTGCAGCGGTAGTCAGCTTAATTTCTACTGAGGATAAACGTAGTATAAAACCGATCAAATGGCGATGTAAGCTGTCCGTTCGCAACCAATCAAATGAAACTCTTAACGTCGATTTTGATGATTTGTGAAACAGCAAGCGTGGTATTTAAAGACTGGATAAATAGTGATGAACTGGGTGGGTGTTTGAGAAGGCAACGGGGCTGATGAGTTATGAGTGTCATCTTCTCAGTCATATCGAAGTAACGACAATACACTTGGCGCATTCCAATGGTGCAACACTAGTGAAAATTGACGAGTCTAGATGTCAGCCGTGAATGGTCACTCAGGCAAATAGAAAAACATGCACTGAATATTTACTGATTGGTCACAACAGCTTACAGGAAAAACAGATTACCAACAATCCGGAAAACCACCAGATGGCGGTTTCACCCTATTGGGACTCGCCAGTGTTGCACATCTGTAGGCGCCATCGGGAAACCGAAAGCATGATCGTCAGCAGCTTGAGCCATCTAGCCATGAGTTTGTGCTAATGATCCATAGGGGACGGTGAAAGACCGTCATATACTGCAAGCAAACTGGGATTTAACGTGACCTAGCTTCCACTGCCATGCTGGTTACCACGCTTGTGGAGAATCGTGACTGGCCTCCACAATTCACAAATTCTAATGCATAGCATAATTAATCAAAAATATGCCCGCACAGTCTCCAAATGAGACCAGCACTTTTCCGGATGTACGTGAATGATCTGAATGCCCAAGTTGGAAAACTGTCCATTGATGAGCTGCATCTGGATGGCCAACACGGTGTAGGTTTCGGTAATGATAACGGTGAGTGAAGATGCCCGCCTATTACTCGCGAGCGCTAGCTTCCGACATAGCACCCGCAGAAGAGTAACGTGGCACCCACCATCCATGGACAAAAATAGATCACATCGCGATCAGTTACCGCTGAAGAGACGGTGTCCAAAATTGTCGTTTGAGATGGAGCACGTGCGTAGACTCAGACCATGCACTTGTATGTGCAGACCTGCGGATGCGTTTCGGCGGACGTACGCAACCACGCTGTGAGCACACAGATAACTGTCAACTGGTGAACCAAGATGCTCTGAAGGGACATCAAAGTACGCTGGCACCCGAGTTGAGTAAACGCTATCTAAACCCAGTTGAAGGTCCCTGGTTGCATCGTCGCCAGATGTTATTAGCAGAGGTGTTCAGGAGCCAAAGCAAGATGCCAACGTGGACACTGGGTCTCTACGCAGCCCCTGGAACTTCATGGTGCTCGCTGATTTGTTTCGGCTTGGAGCGAACACAATGAGACTCGCAAAGATCTCCGTGCAAAACTGCGCGTTACCCCGAAGAGAGACCACGAAGGCTGGTGGTCTTACCATGCATCGTAGATGGCAACCATCGAGAAATATTCCGTATGGTACAGGATAACAGGCAGCAAGAGACCTGGTGTTGGAGAGACAGTAAGCGGTGAAAGTGGACAGCCAATCCACCACTTGGCAAAACGCGTACACACTTTGAAAAGCAGTTTAATTAGCCAGAGTAACCATTTCCCTTAACGTACATTGATCACTCTTTGCCCTCGGTTGTTCCCTTGATCCGCTTTCACGGGAGAAGTCGAATGCGAGATTAGGCTGTTGAAAACAAAATAAGGCCTGCAAGAGCAGATAGGCTTCCTCCAGCCGTTTTCAAGTTCGGGGTACCAGCTCACGTGGATGATTTGCACAACTTATTTGGGAAGCTGTGAGAGAAGGAGACAATCACAACAAACTGCAGCCGAACCGCCATAGTCACAATTTGAGGGGAGGCTTACGTGCAGAATGCGGCAATAAGAGCAGTCTTATCACAAGTGCCTCTAAATCGCTTGCGCCTGTCATTCTCCACAGCCTAGCGGGCACGCGTGAAAAGCAAGCCTGATCTCGTCGAAAAGGAGACTGCAGTGACATCTTCACTTGACTTCAGTTGTTGGAACATCGCCATATGCATTGGCAACCCACCATAGCCGTATTTTCCAACATCAAAGGTGCGTCGTATGCGGCGGATCGATGTACCTTTGAGACGGTCTGCTTATGGAATGTGTGCCTGATAAATATGTAAACGTCATAAGAACGTCGCATGCGCGTAGTTCGGGAAGAGAAAGGGCTTATGGCCCAGTGTCACCGCCCTTCAATATCTCCATCGATGTGAGACGACGTTGCCCGCTGTCACATTTTCTACTGAACTTTACTAGCGAACAAGACTTGGAAACGGCGTTCACTGGATAGAACTTAGATGTGATACGTCCAGGTGATCGACTTCTTGACGTAGACTACGTCGAGGACATTGCGCTCAACTGTGACAGCTCCCAAGGGTGTCAAGTAGCACTGGCTGTCAAAAGTTTCGGACTATGAAATGTGCACTCAAAATGCAGTTTTCTTCAAGATTGGCAGGGACGCACTCTTGCACTAACCCTAATTGGTGATCAGTTAGAAGCCGTCCAAAAATGCAATTATCTAGGCAGCTCTAGTAGCGCCTGTGGAAAAGACGATGAGATCACGGATCGCATAGTAAAAGGTCGAGGGGTTTTTGTCGATCTCAGTCACCTGTGGAGTCGGCGTGACATGACTCGCTCTGAAAGGCAGAGTTTATAATGCAGTCGTGCTTTCAACCCTCCTGTACATTTACGAAAAAACGACTCATCAGATCGAAAGGCCTCAAGTGGCTAGTTATCTCCGACAATCGTTGTGTTCGCAGTTTAGCCCATGTCTGGTGGGAACACCGCCTGCGCAATGAGCGCGTTCGGCGTCGCGTATTTATTGCAGGAAGAGCGAATGGATTGCTCATCGGCGTCATAATAGGCACGAAGGTCCGATGGTTAGGTCTCGTGTTGCGCAGGCCAGCACACCGAATCCATCCAGCTAAGTGGCTTGCGCAACCGGGATGTGGAGGGAAGATGAGGAGGAGGCCAAATGATGACTCTATCAAGGGACAGGAAATTCCTCACTTCGAATTCGACGTCGGTTGGTGTCTCCCGACTACCGAGTTAGGGCTCAAAAGATGGTGAACACGTTGGGTTAGATACACTAGTTGACATGGTGAAGAACCAATCTCAATGGCGTTTGGGTTGTGATTTCCTCGTTCTTCGCCTTCCCGCTTATCTTTCCCTCCACCACCATTTCACACTCCAAATATAGAACAACACTTAGCAACATAGTTCTCGTTATTCTTTAGCCTTTTGTGTTCGGTAATGCATGGTATCTCGCCTTCATATATCGTACCTTATTGTGTCGCGACCCAACAGCTTAAGTGTACTATCACTTTCAGCTAGCGTGTAATGAGGTTGCGTTATCTGCCAAGAAACTGGCCGCAAAGAACCTTCTCCAAAGCAAACAAGATAAAAATAAATAATGCACAACACCGAAGTCAAGATGTACCAGCTATTTCGTTGTCCACACTGCTCTCTGCCTGCGTCCAAAACCACATGCCAACTTAAACCAAACTTCGAGTAATTCAATATGGGAGCAAAACATTGTGAATTTGTCTAATTGCGCATTTGGTAGACACATACGACCGACCTTCACCGGAACTTAACATCCGGCACAGTGACAGTCACCATGCTTGTGCAAAGTTGAAACAGATGGACCGGTTAACAAGGGGCGGAAAGTCGAAATACGGTCTCAAAAGTGCAAAACTGACGCGGATCAGTGGTGGAACTAAGGTAAAGACAGTAACAGAACAGCTCCAGATGAATGACATATTCAATACCACAGCGAGCACTGAAGTGGCCAGGTTAGGGATAGCCTGGTTGTACTACTCCAATTGCTTCCATGTTAAGTGCGTTGGACTGCGGTAATATGAGGTAAGGAACAACAACGCGTCAGCAAATCTAATCCGATTTGGTACGGTGCGTTCCACTGTGGATGCTTGCATTAATCAACAAGTATAACAGTTTAGTGGAACCAGTCAAAGAGCAGATAAACATCACATCTGAAGTATTGGAAGCGAACATACATGAGTGAAGTGCAGCAGCTGTTGAACAAAGCAGTGCAAAAGTTGTTTACACGACAGTACGAGAAGAGAAAGGAACTCCACCTACTTTGGCCTTATGTTCGAGAAAAATGGGCAGGAGTTTGATAGTTATTATCGCGAAATATCATGGAACCAACTGAGAATTCTTAAGTTCGAAAGGTTTGGAATACCTATCGGTTTTGGTTTTGCTACCGCAGTTTCGTACAAGACTATCAAAACTGCAGTGAAAGAATCCCAGAATACAAATAAGATTACGACGTTTAGTTGTGTCTAATCATATTGAGTGCTGCCTTCAGTCAGATAAAAAACTAACACAAGTGACCTAGAATGGGGTCGAAGTCAAGATGGGAACCTCTTCTTACACGGTTTGATGAACAATCTCCTCGTGGGGACATCTGTGTGGTTTGGCGGCAGTGCTCCAGGACGAGGTGAGTTTTCACTTGCCAAGCGTTCTCCCTAGAAAAAACCATGTCTTTTTGACAACTCTGCGACTAAATAAAGTTACTATCCCTTGCTTCACCCCGGTGCAGCATTGCATTGTAGGAGATGGATGCTGTAATTGTGTGAATATTGGGCTACAGTTTGGTAAGTTACCAAACAAAAGGAGTATTAAACGAGAGATCGGTCACCGACCCCCAATGAATGCGACTCCTTAAATTCGCCCCGCTGTCTTGCGTGTAGGCTGTTGAGCTAAAGGCTCGGGGTAGGGTCCTCTAAGTAGATTCCTTACTTCGGCTTGGGCTACGGGGTAGTATCACGCCCTCTGCAAAAACCATGAATCATATTGTCACTTCGCTGCATTCTCTCGTTCCTGTCTTCGTCATTTTCTACCTAACTCCACCACGCATCGCAGCAAAAGTGAACTGTCAATGAACCGAAGATAGCGGTTAAGAAAGGAATCAGATACGTGGTAAATGAGTTCAGGCTGATTCAACAACCGTCAAAGAGAACCACCTCTCACTATCATCGCGTACCTAGTTAAAATATGAGTGTACAGTAGATGTAGAAGCAAGATTTGAAAAAGGTTTCACATTCAAATGAGAAAAAAGGAGGGATCCGATGAGTTCACTGAGACCTGGTAAGAACTGCTTGCATGAGAGAGTTGCAAAATAACATAAGCAGTTGAAAGTGCCCTGAGGCATCCAACATGGCGTGGAACGTAAAATCATTTGATTCAACCTCACAGATGCAAGTGCGTACAAAAAACTAATAACTGCAACTTCAAAAGCAAGATGAAAATGAACTATTTACCCTTTCACATAATTCACTAAACGAGCACATTACGACCCGGTTTCCAGTGTGATTGAACAGAAGTGACCGCCCGAATACGTTCAAAACCGTGGGAGAAGGTGGTCCTTCTGTGAGAAAATACAGGAATCGCGTGAACTATGGGTGAAATAGATTACCAGTACTGCATACGCCTTCAGCACTGGGTTGCTACAGAGACCGACATTGTACGTCGGGAACGTAAACGCAGATCAGCTGTGGTCATGAAATATCGGGTTACTTCAGCGTTAGTGAAGTAGTATGAACACAGCCAACAGACAAAATGCTGTTAGGCGACAGATATAAAGCAACGCAGAAGTGACGCAAATCAGGTGTACAACAAAACGTCATGGCATCATGAGAGCGGTGGTCATGCACGGTTGCCATCCTGTCTACAATAATATGATACAATAAAACGAGAAAGTTTGCACAAACATTCAATGAACACAAAATGGCAGAGCGTGATGGGACTGTACTATCAGAGTGAACAGATGGATCTTATAAACGGGAAACGAGCCCACGGATACAACGACTGGACGCAACTAGTGTGGTTTTCTATATTCAAAGGTCTGTTGATCGACCAAAGCGTGTGCACTAAAGTGATTACCTCACCGCTTGTTTAAGAATACCAATGGAATGGTGTCATCGGTCCAGAAACGTCCCTATTTGCGGAAGTGCATGATCAATATGTGTCGAAGTGCTCTACATGCCAAACGTGCAGTACTATTCGTTTTTCCACCTTTGCTGAATCAGCTGCTTGTTCCTGGAGGGCCCACTGTTACAAAGCTGAGTGTCGCATAGAAACCAAGACGTTGAAATGCACCGTGGATTAAACTGAGTGAGTTGATGAAATGGGGCTCAATGTAAAATAAAATGTGACGTGATCATAAAAGGCAATAGTAGCAGCAGTAAGCCGATAGATAGTATCAATGATTCGCTGCCGTGTAAGCACAAACAGTTGCGCGTGAACTAATGATACTGCGAAGATCGCCAAGTCCCGTACGAAGACTCGAACGCACGAGCTCCGGGCTACAAG